ATACATACGACACTCCTGTTACTACACCCCATAATGATATTAGCTTTGTTCACAGCTGCAGGGCCGCTGCATCCACTAGGCAAACTAGGCAGCCGCCTAGGGCGCCAAGATTTGAAGGTGCCAAAAAGCGGTGCCCAAAATGTCTGGGATGCTCACCCGGCGCCGGCTAAATGTGTAACCCTCTTTGATCAGCTCCGGCCGGCCGGGAAGTGATGTCATTCCTCCTCTGGCCGCCGGGGGCGCTGTGTTGCTCCCTGCTGCTCTGGCTCTTCCCCAGGGCCCAGCCCCTGCTCAGCCCCGCCCTGCCCCCACTCCCCTGAGCTCTGCAGCAGACACCCGACCCCAGCCATGCCGCCGGCGAGTGCTGGGGGGTAGTTTCCCCCTGCCCCCCAAGCCAGCCCCGGCCCCCCGAAGGCCTGCCCCCCCAATGGAAGCCGGGCCTCCCCCCCGCTCCCGCCTCCCCCACGGAGGCCTGGGGCACCCCCCCACGCGGGGGGGCTGCGTAGGGCCCAAGAATATCTAGGGATGGCCCTGGTACCTGCCACCCTGCCCTCAGCTAGCCCCACACCCCCTGTCTCCAGCCAACCCCACACCCCATCTCCAACCAGCTACGCATCCCCTGCCCGAAGCCAGCCAGCCCCACACCCCCTGCCCTGCCTGCAGCCAGCCCCGCACCCCCTACCTCCAGCCAGTCCCTCTTCCATCCAACCCCTGCAGCACCTCCCTCCCTAAAGCCAGCCAGCCCCGCACTCCCCTGTCTCCAGCCAGCCCCTGCCGCACCCCCGTGCCCGAAGCCAGCCAGCCCCACACCCCCGTCTCCAGCCAACCCCGCACCCCATCTCCAACCAGCTCCGCATCCCCTGCCCTGCCCGAAACCAGCCAGCCCCACACACCCCTGTCTCCAGCCAACCCCTGCCGCACCCCCCTGCCCCAAGCCAGCCAGCCCCACACCCTGTCAGGTTATTCATTTATTTTCATTAAATATGTAATCTAAATAATGAAAATAATAAATTTTCAAGCCGAATATGTATTAATTCTAATGAACAATGCCATATTATGCAGTATTCATTTTTGAAAGTTTATAATAAGTGATGCTCCGAGGGGAGGGGTGGGGGTGGGAGGCGCAAGGTGGAAGTTTCGCCTAGGGCGCAAAATATCCTTGCACCGGCCCTGCACAGCTGCATCACATTGGTGATTCATATTCAATTTGTGATTCACTATCACGCCCAGATCCTTTTCAGCAGTATGACCACCCAGCCTAGACAACTCCAATCCAAGCATCCCTTGGTAATGCAATATGATATGGATACAATGTGTGCACCCTCTGTGAAATTAGACAGTGGCTTCACACCCATTCCAAGCAGCCAGGTGTTCCACCACAAAAACCACCCTCTGAGTTGGTACTAACTGGACCTACTGTTGTCAAGGCAGTAGCCATGGTCCGAGTGGGCAAAGGGAGTGAAATCCCTTCTCTCTCCTTGAGATGGAGCCTGCAGATTGGTGTTGAGGCATGGTTACAGGGCAGAGTGAAGGAAACGGCATCTAGAGAGGTCTTTGGTTTCCAGAGTTGTCAATCTGGGCCTCTCCGGCTGGAACTCCATTCCAACATTTAAAAAGAAAGGGTGGTGCAGAAAGAAGTGGTGCGTAGAGGCAATGCAAGCGCTCCTGCGTTTTTGTTTATGCAAGTGTTGCTGTAGCTGTGTGACAAAGTGGGAATTCTCTTAATGTTTTGTATGAATATTCTCTGTGTGTCTCAGTTTTCCTTATGTGTTGCACAAGTATCTATTCTAGGTGGTGGGACAAAGGTGTGTGATCGTTGCAGAGACCCTAGAGGGCAGGTGTGACTGCTGTCTAGCTCCCTGGGCCCAGACAATAGCTGGGCACTCTGTATCGTGGCAACTGATGGCCAGGGCCCATCCTCTGCAACAGCCAGCCGGAGGATTTGGAGAACAAAGAGGCGGAGGCCAGGAGCAACAGGGCATGACTGAGGGTGGGCTGCTGGAAGCAAGTCAGGCTCCTGGTTTGAGACTCGGGGAGCAGAGCCCATGGCTCTGAGTTCTGGATCCCCCCAGACGGTCTTTGCTGAATGTCCCTACTTTCTGTGCTAATAAGCTCTGTTCTACGCTGTGTTCCAGACGACTAATAAACCTTCTGTTTTATACGCTGGCTGGGAGTCACTGCTGACTGCAGCGTGGGGGTGCATGGCCCTGCTGGGGGGAGGGGGCATGTAAGGCTTCCCCAGGTGTCCCATCCAGTGGGACTCCCTGCGGGGAGCTCCCGGCGTGAACAGGGGTGCTGAACGCTCCGAGGGCAGACCCGGGAGGCGCTGAAGCAAAGGAGGCTGCCCTAGTGAGAGTGAGCCGTGAGGGGAATCACACTACAAAACGGTCCTGTCTGAGCTCCATTCCGAGCGGCTCCAGAGCACCGAGCCTGTGCGCCCGTGGCGTAGCTAGGAGTGGAAATTTGGGTGGGCTCTGACTTTCGGGTGGACGGGCAATGCCAGACTGTGCTATCCACTGACCATGCCCACTGGCTGTGCAGCCTGTCCAGGGAGTGCTGATCCCCTCGGCTGTGCCCTGACTCTGCAGCGGGGGAAGAGAGGGTGCTGTTGCCTCATTGCGGGGTATGGGCTGCTGCCCTTCAGCTGGGGGCTCGCATCTCCTGCAGGCCGTATGGCCCCTGTGCGAGGTCGCCTCTGGCTGCACTGCAGGGGTATGAACAGGGGCTTGCCTGTGCACACAGCTTGGCCCAGACTCTTACTGAATTGCCCAGCAAAGTGCATCCTCTCCTGGGAACACTGCAGAGAGACCGGCCTCACTCCTGCCTCCGGCCGTGCAGAGGATGAGCCGTGCGGAGAGCGCCACAGGGCAACGGGCAGCCCCCGAGCACCTGCTAGTTCAGCTTCTCCCTCGATGCCACACCCTCTTCCTAGCCTTGGGTGCCCCCAGACACAGGGCTTCACCTCCCAAGCTGGGCACGCGCATGGGGCGGCTCAGAAAATGACAAGGCAGAGCTGCCAGAGCATGGCTTTCTGAAGGGCGGGTGCATAGCTCCGCCCTGGATTTCAGGTGCCCGAGTGACACTCCAGGGACTATACCCCTGCTCAGATTTGGGTGGGCCATGGCCCACCCATTCCCACCCGTGGCTATGCCCCTGTTGTGCACCCATGACACCTAGCACACCTGCATTCCAGCTCTGGCCTTTGATGGCCGCCTCGTCTCCTGGAGAAGGGTTAGGTTCTCTGTCCAGGCTCTCTCTGGGTTGTGCTGGCCTGTCATTGTCTCCTAGTTACTCCTTGGAAGCCTCAGCTGGCTCTGGCAGCTCTCTGCCCCCTGGTGGTTCTTCCTGTGAGTCTGAGGCTTGTGCTGGGGGAGGGGAAGGCGACTATGTGGGTTGGGGGGTAAGGGCGCATCTTCCCCTCTCTGGCCCCACGAAGAACCATCAGAAAAAGGAAGAAAGCCCCAGGTTACATTAACTTCTCTGCAGCCTCTCCCCTGAGGATTGGGAAGCTGCTCCTCTCAGGGTGGGGGCAATGCAGCCCCTATGCCAGAGACAACAGGGGCCCGGCTGGTGCAGAAAATCAGCAAAGTTTATGGGTAGCGCCTTTTCTATTGCTTGGGAGGATCTTCATGAGGAAACCCTCTCAGACGTCTGCCTCCAAAGCCCCCTCCCACGAGTGCTAATGTGTGTGTGTGAGCTGTCCCCTTGTCAGCACATCTTTGCAGCAATACACAAACATTAGTCCTGTCAGTACCCCATTTCATAGATGGGGAGACTGAGGCAGAGAAGTCCAGCTCCGTACACATGGTTAACAAGTGTCAGAAGCAGGACTGGAAGGCCGAAGGTGCTGGTTCCTGCTAGCCCATACTGCCTCGCAACATTTCATTGCAAGCACAATGGAAATGAGATTCGGTTCACTGTGGGCCTTATTCCTTCGCCCAAGTGAGAGAATGAAGAACGAAACCCTGTGATCTGGCAATAAGCAGCTCTTTGAATAAGGCCCCTATCAGAGTCACGGCTTTGTCTGTGCTGTCGGGAGGATCAGGTCATGAGAGCAGGGCAACAAGAAGAAAGTTGCAGTGCTTGATGTCAACTTTTGTCCTGCAGGCAGTCTTTTTATAACATGGCTCTGCGCTGAGTCTAGATTCATTCCTGCAAGCCTGCCGACTGCCACAGAGAACATACATGCAGGAGGGTCACTTTGGGGTGCGGGGGTACTGAAAGGTTCTTCTCCTTCAGGGGTGGTGGAACCCAGCAAGGAGTCGAGCTTTCGGTGCTACAGTAAAGCAAAACCAAACTCCTTCCCTGCACTCCAGGGGTGGGCGGCTAGGGCGCAGGGCTCTGATAAGACAGCAAGGTCTGATAAGGACTGCACGTGGCACCATCATCGGACGCAACTTCCCTCCCACGCACTGCCAGAGTAAGCGAGTAAGAGTTGAGTTTGCCTGGCTCAGACACAGCTGGCTCGGATTCCCGTCCCCAAATTGTGCCCTCAGCCTCGCTTCTAAAAGCATTAAGCCGGAACTAGAGTTTGCTTTATTTTTAAGACATCTAATTAACTCTTAAGCAGTAAAATCTCAATAAAGCCTCCACAGGGTCAGTTACATTTCTGGCTGTTCTAACATGTGGTTGCACAGCACCTTGTGATTAACACAAAGGAACTTTTACAGGGACTGACAGCCTGATTTTCAGAGCACCCACAGCTCCCCTCTACTCCAAATGAGTCTGTGGCTGTGACTGTGGTTAGTAAAGTGACCATTAGCACAGATTTCACCACCCTGTGCAAGTGCCAGAGAAAGATATGGTGCTCAAAAGTTAGTGATCTGTTCTAAACAATGAACAGATGCTTCTCCTGAAGAGCAAACCAGTCTATAGGCATCAGGGAAAGTAAGATACAAGACAGGGCGTATGCAGAATGGAGTGACAGCTGGGATGCGACAACACCAGCCGTATTCTGAAATCATAATGTTTTGTCATCCGCCAATGAGCTTCCCACTTACTGTGAATTTCCAGAGCCCTCCGATGTCATCGCTTCTCTCGAAGCAGGTGGGCTCCAATCCCTCGTCCAGACAGCACTTAATGGAGGCCAGTCCACTCACGCCAGCTCCAATGATTGCCACTCTCTGTACCATGGTCTCCTGCGGCAGAGAAGGAGCACACCTCTTCAGTGCATAGAGCTGTCGGCGAGCAGAAACCACAGCATTTCAGCAGAATGGCTTAGAACTTTATTAGAGAAGACTAGGCCACCTTTATGGACAGAAATATCGCACACATGCTCACTCTCTCTATAAATATAGTGGTAGCTTGTTCTGATTCCTATTAACACTCAGTGATGTGAAACAGATCCAGCTGCAATAAGGGAATGAAATGGAGCTGATTGATTGCCCAAGATCTGCAGGAATGTTAAACTCACAGTTGTCAGCTGTCCACTCTGCATTTCAGTTTCACAATCACTTTAGCCATTTCTCTCTTTTTAGCCTACCAAAGCGATGTCCCGCTTTCCCCATTACCTTTGCTCCTTCTCTTCTCCAGCCCAGTCCCTGATGCCTGTGAGTGGGTTTCAGGCAGGCACGGGGGAAACAAATGCCTTTCCTGGAACCTATTATTTTGAGAAAAGCAACTGAAATGTGGGAGGAGTTTCCCTTAAAGAGCAAGCCACTTTTACGCACCATGTCACAGGGGGCAGGCCTCGCTGGCAGGGCTGTGTAAGGATGTGTCTGTACAAGTATTGGTGGTGATTTTTGGAGCTTAGCATCCCTGGAGTGGAAAGCGAGGAGGGGCTGGGAGATTTGAGCTCTCTGCTTCAGAAATAAATTGTCTAGGTGATGCTATTCCAGACAGCACCTGGGGTCATTGGGCAGTGGTGACCAACCCTGATTCCCATCCGGATATAGCATGACAGTGATTCCCTAAATGCCCTTCCCTTCCATGTCCCACTTGGCTCTGACTCCACTTTCCAGCCCACGCAGAGGGGTCCCTAGAAGCCACAGACCCTGCAAACAGGCTGGAGATAGGGTTAGATCACATCCTCAGAGTTGCGGTAACAGCAGGGAGAGAAAGGCTAGTGCCAGGGAGCACTAGGAATACATGGAAGTGGGGTGGTCTGGTCATGTTCTGAGAGGAAGCGGGATGGGGCTCAGCATCTGGGGAACCTAAACCACCCATTCACCCAAGGACAATTTTTTAGAAGGCTTCTTATATGCCGTCTGTCTGGTCCCCACTGTCCCGCCAGCTGCCGGTTCTTCCCAGAATGGTGGAGTCACAATACCTCCGTTAGTTCTTGCCATGTTGTCAATGCAAAGCGGTCATTAGGAGTGTGCTACTCCTCATTTCAGCCCTAGAGAGGGATTGTTGGGACACCAGTGATGATTCTAGTCCTGGTTTGCACACAGCACAAACCCCACCAGCAGCGAAACGGGTGTATATTCACTTGTCAGCCTGTGCTAAGGAAAGCTGAGGTATGTAGTGAAACCCTATTTGTACACTCTTCAGGGTGTCTGGCTCGTCCAGATTTTCCACATGCCTTCCTCTGGTTCAGAGTGTGCAGGCACTTCCTTCTGACCAGCCACAAGCTAGGCACAGAGTCCCCTCGCCGGCGAGTGCTAGACCTAAACAAACCCATAAGTCATTGCCTAGAGATTGCACAATGCTGGAGCTGCATGAATAATCCACGGCAAGTAACTTGTTGTGTGCAGCTGGTTAGCTGGTTAGCAGCAGACAAGAAGAAGTTGTGTTGGTTATTCAAAAGCCAGGACTGACCCGGCATATTCTTGAGGGCCACTGACTGGCCCTTCATCTGTTCATATGGATACAAACATGGAGCACCCACCACATGATGTAACTGGCACATTCAGCCTCATTCGCTGTTCACGGGTGGTCTGGGATCAGTTTGCCATTTTTCTGATGTGGCTATTTATTGGAAATTATTCACGTAATCAGAGAGCCGAAGGACAATCGTACACAGGGGCCAGTCAGGAAGATCAATGGGACTTAAACCAGGAGAGCAGAGAACCAGCACAGTGGCTGGTGGGACAGAATGTGCAATGGACAAGGGGAGAAAAATCATTAGGTGTCATCAGGGACCACGGGTCCCAAACCCTGGTCCACAGGGCTCTGAGGTAGCCGGTCAGAACTTATTGGCTCCTAGAGACCTGGTAACAGTTGCCAGAATGAGAAGCTCAACCCTGACAGAGGACTTCTGACCTGGGCTCTCATTGGTGGAACTCCAGGAGTCCTGATTGGTTCCCTGCTCCTATTGAAACCAAGCAGAGGAGCAGGAAATTGTCTGTGCAATTGGATTTCTCCTGCTCAGGGCTGCATCCACTGTGTTACCTGCCCCTACTGGGTCAGCCTGCCCACGTCCCAGTCATGACAGCTATGGAAAAGAGGGCAGAGTAAAGCACATGGATGCATGTTGCCCAGATAGCCTATTACATATTTGTATTACAGCAACACCTGGAGCTTCAGAAGAGTTTGGGGTTCAGTTGTGCTAGGCACTGTACATGTATAGGGTGTATATCTACACTGCATGCTTCTTTCAGTGGTGTGTAATGTACATACATGCATAGCCTCCAGCAGGAAAAGCCTCTGGCAGCAGGGATGGAGCCTTTCCCTGCTGCCTTCCTCTGCCAGAGCCTTTCATTGACACTTGTAGCTACATACTATAGCATGGACGCAACCTGCTTTTCACCACGGTGCATAGCTATACGTACCTTACACGTCATCGTCAGTGGTGCATAGTGAAGACGTGGCCACAATTAGGCAGTCCCTATCCCAAATAGTTTACAGTCTTAGACTGGACAAAGGGTGCAGAGAGAAACTGAGTGACAGAGAAGCAAAGTGATTTGCCCAAGGTCACATAGCCAGGCAGTGGCAGAGATGGGAATGTTGTTTAACCCCACAGTTTGAAGTGCTGCTACATAAGAGTATTCCCACAGTATTCTTGCCGGCAAGTTAAAGAAGTATGGGCTGGAAGAATGGACTATAAGGTGAATAGAAAGCTGGCTAGATCATCGAGCTCAACAGGTAGTGATCAATGGCTCCATGTCTAGTTGGCAGACGGTATCAAGTGTAGTGCCTCAAGGGTCGGTCCTGGGGCTGGTTTTGTTCAATATCTTCATTAATGATCTGGAGAATGGCATGGACTGCACCCTCAGCAAGTTTGCAGATGATACTAAACTGGGAGGAGTGGTAGATACGCTGGAGGGTAGGGATAGGATACAGAGGGACCTAGACAAATTAGAGGATTGGGCCAAAAGAAACCTGATGAGGTTCAACAAGGACAAGTGCAGAGTCCTGCACTTAGGATGGAAGAATCCCATGCACTGCTACAGGCTAGGGACCGAATGGCTAGGCAGCAGTTCTGCAGCAAAGGACCTATGGGTTACAGTGGACGAGAAGCTGGATTTGAGTCAACAGTGTGCCCTCATTGCCAAGAAGGCTAATGGCATTTTGGGCTGTATAAGTAGGGGCATTGCCAGCAGATCGAGAGACGTGATCATTCCCCTCTATTCGACATTGGTGAGGCCTCATCTGAAGTACTGTGTCCAGTTTTGGGCCCCACACTACAAGAAGGATGTGGAAAAATTGGAAAGAGTCCAGCGGAGGGCAACAAAAATGATTAGGGGGCTGGAGCACATGACTTATGAGGAGAGGCTGAGGGAACTGGGATTGTTTAGTCTGCAGAAGAGAAGAAAGAGGGGGGATTTGATAGCTGCTTTCAACTACCTGAAAGGAGGTTCCAAAGAGGATGGATCTAGACTGTTCTCAGTGGTACCAGATGACAGAACAAGGAGTAATGGTCTCAAGTTGCAGTGGGGGAGGTTTAGGTTGGATATTAGGAAAAACGTTTTCACTAGGAGGGTGGTGAAGCACTGGAATGGGTTACCTAGGGAGGTGGTGGAATCCCCTTCCTGAGAGGTTTTTAAGGTCAGGCTTGACAAAGCCCTGGCTGGGATGATTTAGTTGGGGATTGGTCCTGCTTTGAGCACGGGGTTGGACTAGATGACCTCCTGAAGTCCCTTCCAACCCTGATATTCTATGATAACCCTCACTCCTTTCCACCTTGGAATATAAAGGTGCAGTTTCCAAGAGGGTGTGATCTTGGGTTATGAAAAATGGGTGGTGCATCTAACCAAATGTGTCCATTGGTTTTGGATTCTGGTCACAAGTTGGCAGCACAGAGCAAAACAGTTACCGCTAACTGCTTCCATGCATGTGGGACACGGACTAGCTGACTTCTGGTTGGCCCTTCCAGCCCCACTTTTCTATGACAGGGTCTGGCCCACAGTGTCAAACACCGCATACAAGAAAGAAGAATCAAATACAACCAGAAAAGGGGGACTAAGGAGCTGCAGTGGGAAATCATACCCAAGAGAAGGATGTGGCAGTCAGAATGAAAAACACATTGATTAGGCCCCATTTTATACACCATTTTAAATTCCATAGACTAATGAAACAATTCAATTAGTTTAACTGGCATGTTGACAATTGAATTGAAAGGTTTTTAATCCTTTTAACTGAGTTCATTAGCTTATTTGGGTTGAAGCAAATAAAGGAGATCTTTGCAATCGGTTGATTACAGGGATTCAGACATTTGGTTTTGTCACGATTTTCAGCGTGAGTTGGTTGTCTAATTTCTTCTGCCCTACTAGGAAGGGCTCAGTATTATTCCATGTGGGCAGAAAGATAACTCCAAAAAGTAGGGGCATCGCTGCTTGTCATCTGGCCTTTGGATCTAGCTTCACTGTTAATCTGGAACAACATGGGTTTCTTGACCATCTATTCACTTACTTCCCTATTAGTAGAGGACCCAGCCAAGATTGGGCCCCCATTGTGTTAGGTGCTGTACAAACCCACAGTGAGAGACAGCATCTGCTCCAAAGAGCTTCCAGTCTCTGCAGGTAAGAAAGACAAAGGGTGGGAGGAGACACAGAAGCACAGGGAAGGGAAAGGTTTTGCCCAAGGTCACACAGCACACTGGTGGAAGAGCCTGGAATAAGAACTCAGATCCCCTGACTCCCAGTCCAGTGCTCTATCTGCTAGAGTGCTACCTTCAAGAAGATTCTTCTTTTGACGAAAAAGCAATTCCAAACAAAAAGAGTTTGGTATGCAAATTTTGCCACTAGAAAAGGGGGTGGGGTGAGGAGAAGGTGGGGGGGGGGAGGAGAGAGATGGGGGGAAGAACTGAAATCCCCCAAACTAAACTTTTTTGACCAGCCATACAAAATATGAGGCCAGCTAGAAAACGTGGTGGCGCAGGGCCAGAAACACAGGTCAATGGGACGGCCTCCCTACTGCTCCATTCCACAACGCTACTCTGTAGCTAGGACAGTAAGGTCAATGACCTTGGCTAATCAGCAAAGAGGACATTGACATACAGGTTTGTGGCCCCCTCAGCTCCAGCACGAGGCATGCCTGTAGTGCTCGTGACATTAATATTTGATGTGGAACAGAGTTAGAGAATGGTTGCAACAGTGCTATAAAATGCTACGCCAGCACTGCTGCAGTGTGTCAGTTGCACAAGTCGTAGCTACCTCTGGTTTCATTGGGATAATTTGGTATCCAGGCCCAAATTTTAATTGAGCTAATACTAGAGCTGTG